GAGCTAAATTAATTTTCACACGGTAGACACGTATACAGCCGGCTTTGGTAATTCTTCCATGGCATTCAGTTCTGCCATGGAGCCTGATTTCTTTTTTTCCCTTAACTGTATGAAATCTTAACCCCCCACCTCGAATAGCTATTGCTAAATGTGGGAGGGTAAATGGCTGTTAAATATATACTTATTAATTTTAATAATAAAGTTGAAGTTGAAGTTGAAGTTGAAGTTAATTTCCATTTCATGAGCATATTTTGGTTACAGGTTAAATATTTTTGTACTTGATTAGATTCAAAATGTGTTGTATATTCAAGCCCGGCTTCAGTGAAAAGGAACGAAGATATCAACTGCATTATGTACAATCCACATTTATAATATATCGAAACTTCTATAATATATCACATTTCTTTAGAAAAAAGCGAGTAATAGCAGTTCATTATCGATCTGAGTGACAAGGCAGCATATTTTACAGAGGGCTATATTCAACCGTGAATATATCATTATGACATATTTACACTTACCCAAACATAGCAAAAACAACGATTAAATTATTAAAAACATCACGTTTGCCATCGCAAAATTCGTGTTTGTGAATTATGCCTTTCAAACTTTGTGAACACGGTTCACAGCCAGTAATTCATGAAACTGCAGGTTTATTTCCAGTTTAAATCCAAAAGAAACGTTTTGTACTTTTGTAAACTTTTTACCAAATTTAAATTAAATACAATATGCACCAAAATACGCAAAATAAAAAATCAAGCCGGAGCTAGTTGTACTCGCGCATGCGCATGACGTCAAAAACCGTTCATGACAGACATAATCAAAATGAAGAACGACTTTGCACTTCGCTATGTTCTCAATTGCGCGGATGTAAATAGCCTCGGGGATTAAGGGCATGATAGTTCGTTGTCATCGATTTGTGTGTTATGATGCTAATTACAGCGACTAAATATTTATTTTGGTATTTCGAAGCCATCATTTTTATTTCATCATCCCATGAGCAAACATTTTTAATGCATCATTTGTGCAGAAGGTGTTTCCAAAACTGTGGATAGAATTCTACCTAGCACCTATACCAAAAGTGGAACCGTGCACGAATCTGGACGAGATAAGGCCGATAGCTCTTACGTACTAGCACAATTTCAAAAATGCAGGAGTCTTACGTGGTTGTTTTGATGAATGACGATATTGAGTCTACAATTTGTAAGGAACAGCATGGTGGTGTCCCACGCTCGTCAGCAGTCCTTGCGCTCGTTCACCTTCTACACAAATGTAACAAAGCATTGGACTTATCACAACGAGTAATAAGAATTGTGTTTTTGGACTTTCGCAAGACCTCTGATCTCATTGATCACAACGTCCTATTAGACAACTGTTGTAAAATCGGAGTCAGACCTGGGCTTATTAGCTGGTACCGGTTAAGGTCATATCTGAGTAAGAGGATGCAAGTGACAAGGTTCGGTGACAAACTTTCTACAAGCTGTATGATTAATGGAGGAGTTCCCCAAGGTAGTCGTATTGGTACAATCGCCTTCGTCGTTCATATTAATGGACTGAAGGCAGTGATTAAAGACACCGAGAGCAGTTTGATTGTTAATTCAAGCAATGATGTCAATGATGGTGATTGTGATAATGACTTAACTCTTTAATGGATGAGTTGACACAACACTGTCGGAGGTTATTAACGTCCGTGATCATGCCTCAGGTTCGCAAGTTGGGAGTACGTCCAATAATTAATATTATTAAAATTATGGATTTTGCTACGTCTCAAAAAATGGAGTTGAACCTTAAAAATGTAAGGAAATGCAGTTAGACTTTCGTCAGAATAGGATAGTTATTCCACCACTAAGATTCAATGATACAACGTTTGGAAAGGGTTTCCGATTTCAAACTAGTGGGCTTATGGTTTGACGAAAATTTAAAGTGGCAAATTAATGCTGATTATATATACAATAGGGAAGGCAGTTAAGCGTCTCCTTTTATTAAAAGTTTTAAAGAAATATGGTGCTGACAAGATTGATATGAAACGGTTCTACATTTCTGCCATCAGGCCGATACTTGAATATGGAGGGCAGGTCTGGCATGTGGGCCTTACTAAAGCACGGAGCAGCAGCAGTATTGAGAAGTACAAAGAAGGGCATTGAGAATAATCTATTCTGAAAAAGATTATGAAAAATTATTGTTTCATGGAAGCTGGAATGCATACGCTTGAACAAGGTCGCGATACTATGTGCATTGATCTTATTAGTAAGATGTCTGACCCACAACACAAATTAGCTGCATGAACAGAACGTTTTCGGAACAGTCCAATTGTTTCGTCAATTGAACTCCATAATAACTCGATTTTATAATATAATATAATATAACCATACATTTTTATCGAAACATTTTTAATACGTATTAGATAGTTTTCGGAACAGTCGTTTTGTCAACGAACAATTGTTTCGTCAGTCGAACTTTTGATAATAACTCTTATTTATAATATAACGTACCATTTATTTCTATTGAAACTCTTTGTAATACCTAATTTAGATAGTACAGTAATTAGTGTATTTCTTCTATGTGTATGTAATGCGCATTCTAATTTAGCTACTTACTGTAGCTATTCAATGTGTAATTTTCATATTAATAAAAAAAATTAATAATTTGGCCATTTAACAATTAGACAACGAGGCCGAGTTGTTCATGAACGAATAGTCAACGAAGGCGTCGCCTGAGTTGACTATTCGCCATAGATAACAAGATCTAGTTATCTAAATAAATTTGATGGGAAAAAGAAACAAGCTATTAGACTGTTTGATCCAGAAAAATAACTTCCTATGGACGAGAAACAAGCTGTAGGTCCCTGGCAGGAATCCAAAATGTGGCCCTGCGATTCCGGTGCAGCGCCCTATATAACTGTATATAAATATCTATTAAATAATTTCCATCTACAATATCTTCAACTATTATGAAATCGAGTGTGATGCCAACAAAATCTTGATATCGTTTCAGTATACTGGTATATAATAGAAAAATATGTGATATAATATACATTTTTAAGTGCCTAACTGGTAGTTTGTGTTCTCCTTTATTCGCCTTTTGTTGAGTTAACATTCTTCGAGAACTTACGCTGGTAGACGCCGCTACTGAATACATAATAGGGAACAATACCCAATGAAGAGCTCTCAACAGTCAGATGATCTAACTAATTTGGGGATCCTTAATTTAGTGATAACATATCAAACAGTCACGTCATCATTTAAAAATTGTGTCATAATAACGTATAAACCCCAAATTTGCATGCACTATTTGTTTTAACACCATTTTGTTTGTTAAATTTATTCGGGGGTTTTTATACACGTTTTTATATTCACGCGTTTTTATATGGTCCTGTGCACCTATTCATATATATGCGTCTTTTTCATTTTTTAGTTGGGCATTTGGAGTTGTATTATGGGAGATATGCACATTAGGTAAGAATTAACATTTCCTATCGGCTTCCCAACGGCCATACAGTTAGAAGCAGACAGCTTTCTTATTTCAAGGAAAAAAAAACTTGTTTCAAGAATTATTTTCTTAAAACAAGAATTTTTTTACTAGGGAGAATAGCGAGAAATATTTTCTAAATGAGAAAATATTTCCTAAAATATTTCTTAAAATAAGAAAACACATTTTTTTGTTTTAAGAAAAATATATCTCATTTCAAGAAAATAATGAAACATTTTTCTAGTGCACTTTTTCTTAAAATAAGAAATTTTATTAGAACTAAAAATTTTTTCTTAAATTAAGAAAACTTTTCTTAATAAATAATAAGAAATTAAATCTTAAATTGAGAAAATATAACTTGTTTTAAGAAAATATTTCTTAAAACAAGAAAATTTTTACTAGGGAGAATAGCGAGAAAAAAATTCTAGTTAAGAAAATATTTCTAGATGAATCATTTTCTTGTTTTAAGAAAATATATCTTATTCTAAGATTAACTTTCTTAAAACTAGATACTTTTGACTAGATAAAAAATAAGATAAATTTACACCTAACATTCTCAGTTTAAGAAAAGAACTCTCATTCTAAGAAAATAACTTGTATATTACTGAAATTATAATTGTTCTGATAGTACAGCAATGTGTTGTAGTGAATTGAGTTTCTCCCAGGGTTTTTTCCAGGATTTTCTCTTGGGTCCGTTTTTGCCGAGAAGATTGAGTTTAGCTGAACAGTTGGGGTGGCTGCACCGGCCCCCCGCCTACCGGTGGGCTGACACCTGTACTCAATAAATGTAATTGAGACGGAATGTGTTAAAACAGGGACACTATAAACTGGTTAAAGATGGCTTGTCGGGCTTCCAACTGAAAACTAATTTCCACACGTCACAACATTTTATAACTCAAACAACTTCATTTTTACTGCACTGAAACTTTGGTGAGAAGATTGAGTTTCAAAACTCAATTCAAGATTGAGTTTTTGGGGCCGTTAAAGGGCCCTAAAAAATCCCTGAAAAAAACCCTGGTTTCTCCTGAAGTCATATTTTGTTTAACATTTTGTCCACTTCACAATCAATATTATCTATACCATTGTTCATTCACCAAGTCCATTGATTTCCTCATGTACATTTAATTAACACTGTTCCAAACACAGCATGCAATTGCCATCAAAGATCCATCATCTTAGAATCTGTAAAAGGAAAATTTTACTTATTGAAAATGTAATCATTACTTTATACAAAATATGCCAGAACAATGCATTACCTTGAGACTTATCATTAACCTACAGTGTAAAAGGGACTACAAACTGTGGATGTAATAAACAGCCATTGTTTAACCAACAACAAAGCCAGTTCATATTTCATTTGTATGTAGTGCAAGGTGATGCAGGGTATGACAAATATACATATGTTAACCAGAGACAGGCTTTCTCCAGACCTGTACCCAGTAGACCAGGGTTTTTTTTCAGGGATTTTTTTAGGGCCGTTAAACAGGCCCAAAAATGCAATCTTGAATTGAGTTTTGAAACTCAATCTTCTCACCAAAGTTTCAGTACAGTAAAAATGAAGTTGTTTGAGTCATAAAATTTTGTGACGTGTGGAAATTAGTTTTCAGTTGTAATCACGACAATTAAGAAGAAATGGCTGGAATTCATCTTGCAACACAAGAAAAACTATGCATTCGCCATCTTTAACCAGTTTGTAGTGTCCCTTAGTGCCCCTGCTTTAACAAATTCCATCTCAACTACATTTATTGAGCATAGGTGTCAGCCGCCCGCGGTAGGGGGGAGGGGGGTGCAGTCACCCCAGCTGTTCAGCAAAACTCAATCTTCTCTGCAAAAATGGACCCAAGAGAAAGTCCTGAAAAACCCTGTAGACTACTATCTGGTGCCATTGGGTATTTGGGCACCACCCGCTACCATCTGGTATTAGGCAAACCACCATCTGGCACAACTTCTTCTGGCAAAGACCTTGGACCCATGTTATTTTAAAAAGTAATAACCAATAATCACTAGCTATTAATCAGCAAGCTTAGTTTCACCAGACACTAAATTTTGTTGCATCATACTTTATTATTTTACTCTATCTAACACCAGATAACTTTACTTGTCAAGGGGAAAGCAGTCATGCTCAATGGGTTAATCAGACTATCTGCCCATGTGTCAAATTAACCATTTAGTTGCATTGTGCACTGCTGTCTAATAATTATTAGTGTAAACCTACTAGTAGGCTATCATATATCGTGCGTTCTGATTGGCTACGCTACTAGTAGGCTATTAGTGATAGCCTACTAGTAGCAACAGCGGCGAAGGCGCGAGAGTCAATGGCCGTTTTTAAGCATTAAAAGCTGTATTTAAAAGGGAAAAAGCTTATCAAAATGGCCTAATTTTGGTTCTGGATTACACACAAACAAAGACTCTTGGAAACTGCTGACACATGCGGTAAAAATTTTAAGTTTTCTCAACTTTGCTCGTAGTTTTGAACATGAAAGTGACAGGCGATTTTTTGAAATGTGCAGAATGTTTGTTAATATTCCAAGCAGAATCGTTGAAATTCAACAATACTTTGTAGCTATTTACCCCTATTTTCTCAACCTCTTTAGTGTGTGCTTGTTTTAAGTACGAGTTCATGTATTTAGCTGTCATTTTAAAGAGTTTTTTTCGTTTAAATGTTGAGATTTTGGCCGAGTTTGTTTTTCGTCTTTTTCGAGCCTTTTTAAGTCGAGTTTTTCGATTAAATTTTAATCTAAACTATATTGTCTATGTATACTAGATTACGGAAATAGTTTGCCTCTTTATGTTCCAGATATGTTAAAGATTTCAAAGACATTCGGATAATCGGATTCTTTTGCATGTGTGTGCATTTTTATTCGGCTTTTTAACAACGTAAACTTTATTTACTAATTTAATAAAATTTCGGGAAGCCATTTTGTGTTCGAAATTTTGGATTTTTTAAGCCGTGTTTCCTTCTTTTAAATAAGTTTTAATTAACCAAACTTTGCTTCTATGACGGTCTCTTACTATTATACTGTTTTATGACATGTTTTTTAACTTTTTAAAAACTCACAAGTTGTATTTTTCAAGTCATTCTTGGGAGTTCGCAACACTTAGTAGTTGTCAACAAAGCCGTTTAAACGCTCATTTCGTTAAAACGTTATTATTTTACATAAAAATCAAGTGAAAAATTCCGTTTTCTTTATGTGGTTTATACTAAAACAATTAGACAACTCAGCCTCGTTGTCTCTGAACGAATAGTCAACTCGGCTTCGCCTCGTTGACTATTCGCTCATAGACAACTCGGCTTCGTTGTCTAATTGTTAATTAGTTAGCCAATTAAGTAGATTATGTCAATTAATTTATGATCTGTCATGCGACAGTTCCAGTTTAAAGGGGAATATATCTTGTGGACTAAATATGATACTCAACTGACTGTCTTCTCTTAAATAACTTTAATTCATTATACAGTTAGCATCGCTGTAGTGCAGTAACATTACATTAACCCTTGAAGTGCCAATGCACCAAGATGAGCCCTACTTTATTATTTTACTCTGTCTAATGCCAGACGATTTAACTTGTCAGGGACTCAGGGGAAGAGTGCTGCCACTAATTGGGTTAATACATCAGGCCCCTGGACATGTACAATTGTTTGGTATTGAGATAGCAAGATTAATCTACTAGGGCGTAAAAAAATACCTGTGGTTCCGTTTTCATATCGCAAAAAATTTTGGGTTGGTAGGTCGGAAATAATTTTTTTTTGAATATTTTTTCATGGATTTTTCAATAATTAGTGTGACAACAGATGTCATTTGGCAGCAGCCCGCAACCATCCGGAGAAAATAGGGTCGCACAGTCAATCACTTTTAAAAAAATAGGGTCGATCGGGAACCGGAACCACAGGTATTTTTTACGCCTAGTATGGCACAGATAAAATTGGTACCTGTATCAAATTTATCCATGCTCGGCCTGTGTGAACAGGAGTAGTCGAAGCATGGTATACATGTTACGGATGCCAAAATTGAGTACAGTGCCAACAGGCCTTACAATGGGCTGCATTGGGCTGAAATGTAATAATTCCTACAAACAAAGTCCTTACATGGGCTGTTTACAAGATCAAGGCTGATTCGCCTGGCTGGACCGACTTGCAAGTGCCGAGATGGTCTTGTACAACCACCTGGAGAAAATAGGGTCACACGGTCAATTGCGTTGAAAAAATAATAGGGTCGGCACAAAAAATAGAGTCGGTCGGGAACCGGAACCACAGGTATTTTTTTTTCGCCTTAAAACAAATATCGCTTTCCCACCATATATAAAATTGTTTGGGAATTTCTTATAGCAGTTGCCAGGCTAGCCCTCCTCATGTGAAACAAATAACAACTTGGCCCGGCCAAGTAAGCTAACTGGGTTTAATGGGCCAGCATGGCACATATTGAACAGGTCCTGGGTGACTACCTTAGCTGGGCCAGTTTGTCATTTTCTTCATATAAAGCACTAAAAGCAGACTATTTATTCTTGTTAATTCTTACCTTACAACACCAGTTTGTCAACTCAATCCAGAATTCCTTGATTGTTAAGAACAATATTTGGAGCCAGGCTATAGCCCAGCACCATTATTAATCTGAAAATACATAAAGCAAGCATACATCAGGCATCGTGTCACAAACATGTTACACATTATAAACTGAAGTTCATTAAGGGCTAGCAAGACTCTCCGGCCCCTTGAAGAGTGAAATTGTCTGGCACTAGGTAAAGTAAAGCAACAGCAGGGATGCATTTGGGCACATTTGTAAGCCTTAATGGGTTATTAAGATCAAAACCCTGAAAATATTACATTCAAATCTTTATAAATTCTTCTGTAATTCTAATCCTTATTCATGTATTAAAATGCTAACATATCTTTAAAGGCATTCAAATGTTTACAGTAATATATACAAGGCCAAGGGTCAAGTTGAGTGCAGATAATTTATATGTCAAACAGCCAAAGGCAATATTTATTGCTATTAAATTGTTAACAATAGTGCATTAGTGCGTAATTTATTACAGAATTTGCTATAATGGATTCGAATTGATATTTTATTCTTTCTTTCATTGCCAGAAACCAACATTTCGTAGGTTTTTTATGCAAATTGACGCGACAAATTCAAACATTCAACGGAATTTTAGGCAAATGACTCAAGAACAATCACACATTCTTTCGCAATTAAAGTGCTTAAATAACAAGTCAAAATAAAATATTCTTACCTGTGAGATCTGAATAACATTTTAAGACCTTTCCGATGCCTTTTCCGTCGTTTGGGATAGCAAAAAGTTGATTAATACACTGTAAGGCCACTACAAGTTAATCTTTAGTTTCTGGTCCGCCGCCCGCGTCCTTTCTCCGTAAAGTATTATTTCAGGACTATTTTGTTATTTACAATTAATTTCTAGTTCTTGAAAATTTTCGCGAAGGATTTAACTTATAAAACGATAAATATTCAATTTACATTAAAAAGACCTAGCAAAATGTAGTATTGAATGGTAAAAACCGCTGCCTTATCGATATTACGAGGAAAAAAACTAGAAATATTAATAGATCATTTTCATATGTAAAATCCTTTGTAATCTGTCATACATGTCGATTTATAAATAATATAAATGCAACTTATTTAAAATTTCACAACATTTTGATACAATTAGCATGGAAAGGGACAAGAAGGACCACAAAAATGTGGGCAAAGCCACACTTATATTATGTCCTATAGTCCTAACCACCCGCCCGCCCGCGTCATAAACGAAGGTAAGGCCGGATCAGAAACTAAAGATTAACTTGTAGTGGCCTAAATATGAACTGGAAAACTTTATAGCACAAAAAAATTTGAAACGACGCTATCCCATGAACCTTCGCGCTCTGATACGTAAACTAGGCACCAGGCCCCAGGCAATGCGCGAACTATTGCTGCTTGCATGTCTGCATTTTCAATCAGTTATTGACTGTTAATTTTATCTATAATAAATTATCGAAAAGTCAAGAAACTTCTCTGCAATTATTAAATAAAACACGAGAAAAATTCAAACTTTAGAATGTAAATTAGAATGTATAGAATGGTATCAGGGAGCGACGGAATGTAGGTGAAAGATATCTTCTTTCCTGCAGGAGGGGGGCAAATGTAGAATTTTAATAGAAATAAAACACAATATTTTTCGCAAATTTACCTCAGGGATGGATCCAGCATGATCTAGGAGAGCGGTCGGGGGGCACCTCTAAAACAACTTTCTTTTTCAGACCTTTTTCGACCTCAATGTTTCAGAATATTCCGTAATATTTAACAAGTTCCACAATTCCAGCATTCTGGGGCCCCCGAGATGGGGAAATTGGGACCCCTTTCTTGACTTTTATTTACACCCCCACACCTCCCCTCCCCTCAGTAAATCCATCCCAGATTTAACTTAACAAATTAATTAACAAAGATACTACGATAGAGGAGAATTCTTATGTTTAATTAATCTTGTGCCCAGCCGCAATTCCGAGTTGCGAATTCTCTCCTGAGCATGCAAAAATGCAGGAACCGCGGAACAGGGGGAGGCGCTGGCCATGGCCGTATAAAATCCAGCCTGCGTTCGTGAGCTATTGCCCGTGCTATCCTGCCTCCCCCCTCCCCCCCCTCCCACCACACACACACACTTCAAAACAGGCTCCGCGGTCCCTGTGGAACGAGGTTGGCTCCCTGTAATACATATGCAGATTATTCTAGAAATAAGTGTTATACAATGAAAATGAATCTATAATACAAAATATGTTATATATGTCTTTAAACACCAGAATTGAATGCCATTCTACAGGGTGTATCAAAAAAAGCGCAATCCTCGACTGAAATGTAAATTGCTAAACAAATAATAGACGAAAACGTTGAAGTTTACATTCATTTTAAAGCGTAGCCATTCAGCTTTATAACAGTGGGTTGTTTCTTAAATTTGACTCATTGGTTCGTGGGTAATAATACTTTACGTTATTGCGATTGGAGATTAAAAAAATTGAGATGGAATAACAAATCGTTCTCATGAAAATAACTGATTTTTTCATTAAAACAAAAAAATGTTGCATTTTAATAAATGGATTGTAACAATAAGTATAATTACAGCTTTTCTTCCACTATTTTTAACACAGTTTGAAACTTCAAATGCGATATAATTTTGGCTTGGACCATCTAAGCTGACTGACATCAGCTTGCTATAATTTCTGTTTACATTACACCGCAATTCGATGACACTCTGGCTCAGACACCAGAATGTTTTGATTCTATGATTTTTAGCATTCGTTTAGGATTTTCAAACAACCTGGTCTCTTTTAAAATACTTTTAATTTGTTCTTACGTGGTTTTGCAGATGTAGTGACGACAACATTAAAGTTTAAAGAAGAAAATTCTAACATTTAAACCGACTAAACAATAACATAGTAAACTTGCATAATTAAACAGCAACTAAAAATGATAGGTTTACTAAATCTTTTCCTGTGCAATTATTACTAGCATTGGAGACAAGGATAATAGTTTGTTTGAAAGAGAAAAGAACAGGCTTTGAAGTAAGCCTAAAAGCGTTTAACTAGAAATAGTATTTCGAAAGTTATTAAGCACAAAAGATGAATTGCGTTTATTTTGATACACCCTGTATAGTTCCTGTAGTTAAATTTTAACAAATTTTAAATTTTCTTTCCGTTCAAGAAAATTTAAGAAATAATTTCTCTTGTTAAGAATTTGATTTCTTGTTTTAAGAAACTATTTCTTAAAACAATTTCTTAAATTAAGAATTTTTTCTTGATAAGAAAATGATTTTTAGCTGTGAATAGGAAAATGATTGTTTGCTAAGAACGAATGATTTTTTTTCTAATTTGACTAAGAACTGAAATAAAAACAATAATTTTTTATTCCTCCTGTAGCTACTTCCATTTGTTTAAATTCTGGAACCTCTGCGATCTGTACTTACCCAGATTTGTATATTTTAGGGGACACTCCTTATTCATCAGTCTCGGACAGGGATCTCAAGAATTTCCTGCTTGCCGGAAAGAGATTGGAGAAAGTGGACAGCTGCACGGACGATATGTAAGATTTTCATTGATTTTCATTTTTATTGTATGAACCCGCTAACTAACTTTACTTTGGGAAAAGCAACTAGCTCAATGCTATCAGGACAGGAATATATATGAATGACAGCGTGCAAGCAATGTGTTAAAACGTTGACAAAAGACCATTGTTTGACATGCAGCTGGCAATTTTCATATTTTCTAATTAGAAAATTATTATTATTATTATTATTATTATTATTATTATTATTATTATTATTAAAAACTTTGGATGTTCCCCAAAGGGCTTTTCAGCATACAATTACAATACGCAATTTAAAATAAAGCTATGCTATACTATTCAAAATCTAAGTTATGATTGTCTATTAAAACATTCATATATATGATACTAAGAATTTAAAAGGTGTTCTTTTAGTTTTTTTCTTAAAAACCTTGAGTTCTGGAATCTTTTCCAGTTCATCATCAATATCGTTCCATATCTTAACTGCGCAATAATGAAATGTTCTTTGCCCAGCAGTAGTTTTATAGCTTGGAATATTTAAACAGTAGTTATTTCTAGACTGGCAATTATGAAAATCAGATCGCTTTGTGAATTTATTTGCAAGGTAACTTGGCGCAAGGTTGTTCAGGCATTTATAAGTCATTATCGTGTCTTTGTAAAAAAGTAAGTTTTCAATAGATAGCCAGTTAAGTTATTGAAGACCTGGTGTTACATGGTCAAACTTTTTAATACTCGTGATGATTCGGCATGCGAAGTTCTGGACTGTTTGCAATTTCTTTAGATTTTTCGATGAGGTACGTATTAGCCCACACAGAAGAACTATATAACAACTTGTTAATCACCAAAGCTTCAATAAGTAATATTAAAGTTTTTTATCAAAGCTCTCCTTTACTCGACTAATTTGACATAATTTTTTTATGCACGTTGACGACAGTTTAGAAATATGGTCATCATAGGAGAGATGTAAATCAAGGTGCATCCCCAAGTTTTTGACATCTGAAACTGGTTTAAGAGTTTTTCCGAGAAAGTTCATATTGATTTGTGTTGGTAAATTCTGTAGCATTGATCTTGTGCCTGCTAAGAGGAATTTGGTCTTGTCAGGATTGATTAATAATTGATGTTCCAAGCACCATTTAGCGGTTTTATACAGATCGTTTTCTAGTTTAGCTATTGTCTGTTGTACGTCTTCGACAAGAAATGCAAGATGGAGTTTTGAATCGTCAACGTAAGAGTCGAGATCACTTGAAACCGTTACAGCTGGTAGATCATTAACGTAAATTCCAAACAAAAATGGTGAAAGAATAGAGCCCTGGGGCACTCCATGGGTTAGTGCGCTAGTTGAGGAAACAGTAGATCCTATTCGGATACGTATTGCGATCTGCCCGACAGATAGCTTTCAAACCATTGAATGGCTAGCGGAGACGCTCCTAACGCATTTTAACTTATGCAATAGGATTGTATGATTGATGCTGTCAAAGGCCTTAGACAGCTCCAATAAAATGAGGGCTGTTACATGTTTTTTGTCCATGGCTTCCAGCATCTTGTCCGTAATGAAGATGTTTAAAGTTTCTGCACAGTGGTGTTTCCTATTTCCATTTTGATGTGGTGATAAACGTTGGTTTTCTGTTATGTATGAACTAAATTGGTCGAGTGCAACTCTTTGACAGACCTTTGATAAAACCTCTAAAAGTGAAAGGGGTCGATTATTAGACGGTATCTCTTGATCGCCATCTTTATGCAATGGTATTACTTCAGATAGTTTCCACTTATCTGGAAACTTGCCTAACGTTAAGGAACTGTTAGTTAGGTTCGTAAGGGGGCCCAGAATGACTGGTAGACAATCTTTAATAACACCCATGCTGATCTTATCCGGTCCCGGTGGTTTGTTTCTGGGCATTGCCATAACTTTCTCAGCGCGACCCTATTATCGTAATGCACTCATGCAATACGACTTTGACATGTCATATCTTCGGTTCGTTGAATGCAATGTGGACAAAAATACCACCATTCGATTCAGTGTAACGAAATCTCTTCATTCGTAACGATAGTTTTAGTCAATGACAATATTATAGCGATTTATGAGCTTTGAAAGTAAAGCGAGATCGTATATGATCAAATTTCGCATTATTACCAACAAATTATAAAAACATAAACATACATTTCGCCGAACATAATTTCGGCCCCCATGAGACGTATGCTCATTTTGATATTCTTGATGAATTAAGCATTGAAAATACCATGTAGAGTGTTATTTTCAAGCTTCTATCTTTAAAGTGTGACTTTTAGTGCCGAATTTTACATTTCTGGCCTGAATTTGCGATAATCCCAACCGGAAATACAACTAAATATCGTCAAAACAATGCCACGTTTGTATCGCGTGTCTCTGGAAATGCCAGAAATTGATTCTACAGGTCAAAGTGCACCTATACGCGTGAGTTTAACGTCATCCCGGCTAAAGGAGCTCCTTATTGGCCAAGTATTGCGTAATCCACGCGCGTGCGAATAAAACCCGATACTTTGAAAAATTCAAAATAAATATTTCTACTCGCCGTATTCATACGAAACTTTCTACACGAATGCGCTTGAATACAAAGAGTATTTTACTCATATAGCCTTTCAGAAAATGACGAATGGTTTAAAAAATATTCACCTTTTTTTCTTTTCCCGTTTTAATGTTTGGCATTCAAGTATAAATATATGATTGTTTCGGTTTGTGTAATGTTTTGACGGCACTTGAGCCCCCGTTCGAAAGGTTATTTTATGAGGATTTCAATGGTGGGTTTTATTTTAAAGGGGGGTAAATACTCGCCGAGATATTTACATTAGAAAAATTGAATCGTAATGTAATGTGAAACCACGCGCTGAGAAAGAGTAAATTTAAACTGTTGATTCGTGGGATAGATTTTAGAGTTCAACATAGGATCCGATAATGCAATGTTGTTTTTGTTTGCCAGATCTAATGCTGTAGCGGCGGTGATTTTTCCAACTGAGGTGAAGTAGTTATTAAAATCTTCAACAATCGAGTTGAGGTCTTTCGTGTAGATATGTTTTTCCTTCTCTTTTACAGGTATAGTTTTATTAATTTTTTTTCCAGAGAGAACCTGAATTATTCTTATGGACTTTAACTTCATCAGATAGATGGTTTATTGCTGCCTCCTTAAGCATAACTTTAACTTTGTTACGAGATTCTGTGTACATTTCCCAATCCAGCTTGCAACATGTTTTAAGAAATCTCTGATGTAGTTTGTCTCGAGGTTTCACGAGTTCTTTCGTGTCGGGTGTAACGAATGTGTTGGAGCGGCTCCTAATTTTGATTGTTTTAATTGGTGCATGTAAATCCAAGGTTGACTGAATAACATCCTCAAGGACTTCAGTTTTAGTATTTACATCTGTTTCAGTAAATATGGATAAAAGATCAGATTTCGTAGCCAGATCAGAAGAGAAAGCTGTGGGATCATAATTTTTATAACTTCTCACCGTGATGTAAATAGGCGGTGGTGTCTTTGGAACCTTCAGTTTCGTTGATACGTAAATTGGAAAATGGTCGCTGATTGCAGAATCTAATACACCGCTTTCAAGGACTACGGCTTCAGTAGAAACTAGTATAACATCGATGAGTGATTGCGACGTGTCTGTAATCCTCGTTGGTTCCTTGATTATTTGCTAAAGATTTAAATGATTGCAAAGTTCTGTAATAGCTCTTTTCTCTGGGCAATCTTTAAGTAAGTTACAGTTCAAGTCACCAAGATTAAAAATTTGGTTTATTCATAGATAATGCCCGAACATAATTTTGTCTAAAATCATCCTGAATGCAATTGAGGGGCAGTCCGGAGGTCTATAAGTCACGCAAATCATTATTGTCTTCATTTTCTTATTTTAAAAAAATAAGCATTCTGAGAGTTTGTTATGTTCAATTTTTAAAGTGTAGTGTAATATACAATAGAATCAATATCAAGAAGTAAATAGCAATTAGCAAACGCAATGAAGGAAAATAAACTGACATTGTACAGGGAGTGTTATGTTCCATTCAGTCTCTCTAGAGTAAATTTTTTAAAACTATAATTAATATCTTTTTTATCAAAACCGTACATGCATGTACGAATGCTTGAGAGCCAATCAGTCCAGGAAAAATCTCAGTACTCCTATGTGGCATTAGAGACCTTACGATGTTGGACGACAACGTGACGACGACGGCCATAACAAAAGTATTCAAATAAATTTTTGAAAAGAAAGTTTAAATGACTATCATTGTATAATATTATTGATTTGGATGACGTCCCGAACTCCCTTGAGATATTAATTATTCGAATAAATTATCGAAAAGACAGTTTTAAGATTATTATTCTATATAATATTATTGATTTGGATGACGTCTCAAACACCCTTGCGATAATCATTATTCATTTCTTTTCTTAAATAATATATTATGAATCTCATTGTATTAATAGCCGTCGTTGACTCGTTGCCGTTGTTTATTACTTTGAAGAACACCAAAGAGCTCAATGTGTGTTTTTCTCAATCTTCATGTTAGAAACTTCGAGTTTGAGGCAGCATTTTCCTGCCGATAGTAACCCATGATTATTTTATTTAAATTTTGGACAATCCAAATCTTACAAAGGGAAATGCCAAAATAATAATTATATTTATATAATTATTTTAGATATAAGATAATGCTAAAGTGTTGGAGCCATCTTCCAAAAGACAGACCAACATTTACTGAATTATCAGACATATTATGGGATCTTGAGCATAAAGAAAAGCCCTATGTCAATTTAGACAGTTTAATACAGCAGTCTATGCAAAGTGAAGGTATGAAAAACTATTTTATTTGTACGATAACCTGTTTGCGGAAATTCTAATGCTGATGTAGTATGCATTTTTACAGCAAGCTTGGATTGCCTGTTCGACAAATGATATTGGTTCGACAATAAAACACTTTACACCCGCTGCATATATTATGAGCACATGCATACGAGCCCGACTATGGATCCTAAGTATTTCATATTAATAAATATCAATACAAACCTGATACATACTGTACATATAATCTCCATACAGTTATATCAATTGAGAGGAGCCAGTGTACAAACACGGGGAGAGAATAATGTGCATAATACGCGAGGGAAAATGCGAGGAGAGAGAAAAAACTCCGTCGCTTATTTGAGTAGCTGTATGGTGTGTTCCATGCATATACGTTGCTTGGTCGACTGTTTGCCAACAGAAGCAATCGGAAGGCAAACCGAGCACGGTTTAGAACTATTCATAACAATAACAGTCTTTTGCATTTTAAAACGAAATGAAATTTCCTCTGAAATTTCCAAACGCAGTAACATTTTGAATAAACGTCATGTCCACGTACAGTAACTTGTGGAACAAATTAAATGTAGCCAATATGTGAGCAGGAATATCATTAAATACTTACCTATTTTTCAAATTTATCTGTACTAACGCGCTTCAAACTATTTTCAATAATTCCAAACTACCAAATTCACAAAAAAATATCCTTAATTTTGCAGAATTTGACCAAATTTTCAGCACAATTTAACTAAATACATTAAATCACTTTAATATTCCTCTAATATTGCAAGAGAAATTCGTTTTTGGTAAAAATGTGTAAAAATAATTTATTTCAATTTTGCGGAATGGAAAATTTACTGCTGCTTTTAGTAGTTGTTTTGTACATTTTTGCGAACTTTATATATTATTTCCACCTTAAAATCAAATAATATTTATAAATTTGGAGGAAAGGTTAATTTCCCTCCTCAAAAATCACAGAATTTTATGTCAACCTTTAAGATTTCCCCAAAATCCCTTATTTATAAAATAGATTTTTACTATCTTCAAAAAACACTGTATAGTGAATATATAGTAAGAGATGAATTCGGTGTCTGAATTTCAGACACCGAAAACGGTTTGAGTTTGTCAAAATCATATACAAATACTAACCATGCAGACTGAGATAAATTCGGTGTCTGAATTTCAGACACCGAAAACGGTTTGAGTTTGCCAAAATCATATATAAATACCAACCATGAAGACTGAGATAAATTCGGTGTCTGAATTTCAGACACCGAAAACGGTTTGAGTTTGTCAAAATCATATATAAATACCAACCATGCAGACTGAGATAAATTCGGTGTCTGAATACAACATATGCAACGCAACATATGCATGAATATAAAATTACTAATTCGTAATTCTCGCAATACACAATTTATGATAAATAGAACTATGATTTACCTGGTGGCGCGTTTCATTTGACTGGCGTATTTCAATTCATATCCCATAGCTCTCTGTCTGATTTAGTCTTTCTCTTGTATCGACAACATAAATTTGCAAAATAGTATAACGACCAGTCTGGCCATACTTTGAAATTTGAACTCACCGCGTTGAAACAACTCAGAGGAGGTTGTCGTCAAACATATGTTCTGTTGTCAATTGTTACTTCCTGATTGGTTGAGCTTGATTCATAATCTTAATTTGAATTCTGAGTTTCCATGCATGTGTGTTCATATTCCAAAGTCTAGTCCGGCAGAATATAAACAGAACTGGTAATGGAAATCGATTCAACCATTATATCGATGGCACACAACGGTCATAACGACATAGCGAAGAACTTACGGTTAATAAATGAATACAGTGTGGCTTATAGTCAGTCTGAATTCGCTTTCACAAAGATTTATGCATGAAAAATTTGAAAATGGATACAAATTTGGACTTGGTAGACGCTAGTCACTAGACTGCGTTTATAATGCCAATGCAGGTAACTTATTTTACTATTTATCAATATTCTAAGGGCATTAAAACAGAATTTGTTTACTTTGTACCGACTATCGAGAGTGATTTTAGAAATATGGTACATTGCGGCCATTCATTTGATATCGATCGATGTCATCATCCTCCCTCCCATGGTGCCAATGAGTATAAAAAATTAGCTTTGTTAGCCTGGTTTGCGCCGATAATATTATATATCGCATTCGCATGTGCCGTGTATGCATAGAGCTTTCACGAGCATCGTTAATAATATTCATATCGTGGCTAGTTACCTTTCTTTGAATCTAAGACTAAGATTATATATAGGCAATATATTGAACAACGCGTCGACACTTTCCTGGTGTAAAAGCTGTTTTATTACGTTTATTGATTTAATGTCTTTAATTATAGCTCGTTGACGACGGCATCTAATTTAGCGGGGAAAGATTGCAAGTATTCGCGTCAGGTAGCCATACTCCAAGATGACAAACTGAAAGGCAAACCCATAGAGAAAGATTCAATCGATTCATGAAGAGAACAAATCTGTGAAATCGAACTGTCATACCGCATATAGTTTATATCAGATATGTATGTATATTATAGATATACCTGCCAATAATGCCGCACGTTTACTGGGTAAAGCCTGCAGTACACGAGAGCTATCTGCCGAGCCAAAAGTTACTCGTGCCTATTAGCTCAGCTGATCGCTCACCGATCAAACATGTTTGATACGTGAGAAAAGGTTGCATGAGGCAAAAAACTCAGTAAAATGTACGCGCACACGGTGAGCTATCGGCTAAGCTAACAGGCACGAGTAACTTTTTGCTCAGCAGATAGCTCTTGTGTGCTGCAGGCTTTACCCAGTAAACGTGCGGCATTGTTGGCAGGTATATCTATAATACATACATCTCTGCATGATATAAAC